TAAATGAATAGTATCAGCTTTTTGAAAAATTATAAATATTTTTTTCCAAACAATTAATTCAAAAATATTTTATAAAGATAAAGACTAAATGATTTTTAACGTGGTTTCAAATTAAAAATAATTTAAATGAAGTACTTTAAAATAGGTAATTGACATATTTTAAATTTTAATGATGTAAATACGTATATTGAGTAAAGTTACATTTATTTACAATTAATAAGCGACTAAAGTTGATATTTGACCGGGGCCGGGGCCGGGGCCAGGGCGAGGTTTGATAAAATATACCCGGGGCAGGGCATGAGATTGTGACTGGGGCTGCATAAACATTTATACATCCTAAAGTATACTTTTTTATTCAAAATTCATGTTATATTTTGTATATATATATATATGCATTTATAAACATCATTATGATCAACATGATCATCATAACCATCATTACCATCATCATAATCATCTGATCATCTTCTCTTTCGGCAAATAAAACCATAAAAATACTAAAGTTACAGCATCTAAATAAATACAGCATCTAAATAAATAGCAAACATATATGTTAATATCCATAATATGTATGCATAAAGTACATCTCAGAAGCTTTTATTTCTTCTGGAATAAAAGTTTGGAAGCTTTTATTCCTTCTCTTCAATTTTAAGTCAAGCCTCATTCTACTCCACATTTTTTTTCATCTTTTTTTCATCTTTTTTACAAGAACATCTCTTTTTAGGACAAATATTCTTTTATTATTCCAAGAAGCCAATGTAAAAAGGCCCTGTCTGATGTTATGCTCTGTTATTCTCAGTTTACTAAATCTTGTATCTTGTCTCAGATGTTAGATTCTAGAGACTATTGGTTAGTCTTGTGTCATTAACTAAAGTAAGTCTAACATTTAATTTCTAATTCATGGGTCTGATCTTTTTACTTCTCCAAGAATAAAGCAGAGTTATTTGCAAAAAAGTCTTACTTTAATTTGACTCTTGAATCTAATGACCATACGCTTCCTGCCAGTTAAACAGATTAACCCATTGTAAAACATTTAAATTACTCTGGCTTCCAATGCTTAAGTTAATTCTCAATTAAATACTTCTACAGTCTGTGCTCTGGACAAGATTTCTATTATAGTCTTAAAAAGGTGTTCTCCAGAAGTCTCTTCAATTTTTGCTAAATTTTTAACCTCTCTAAATATCCTTTAATTAACCTTCACTCAGTTATTAGTTTTGAGAAGGTTTAATTTAATAATCTCAAAGGCTTTGAGATTATTTATTTCTTTTTAACTGCAGTATTAAAGTTATTAAGGCCTACACTCTTCTTCATTTCAAGTAACTTTTAGGGTACCACAAGGTTCTATCTTTGCTTCTGTATTATTTCTTATCTACAATATCAATCTTCATGAAAATTTTACATATAAAATGACCAAAACGCATTCTTGCTCGGCATCTTATTCCACAAGTTGCACCCTTTTACTGTATCTGTCTCTTTATATGATAAAAACTTTTATTAATCCAGTTTTTTTCTTGCGCATCAAAAAATCATAAATAACTCTTACCCATCTTCATGTTTTCCTTTTTATACAACCTACAACTGGTTTATAGCGGGTTTATAGCCGGGGCTAGAAAAAAATTTAAATTACTTTATATATTATGATTTTATGCTTACATATACTTTTAAAATTTTTAGCCAGGGATGGGGCCAGGCCCCCAGTCACTTACTACTTGCATTACACTTTTCCATTACTCAACCAAATCTCATTGCAAGGCCTGTCGATACCTGTCAATAGTTTTAGCTGGATATAATACTTATGGCTTTATTGACAGAAAAATTAGGATTAGGGGATGATGCACTTGACTTTATGACACATTTTTCTAATCCATTAAATATTTTTTCAAGTATAAATTTTTGAATTTTTTTGTAATGAAATTGTTATTCAATACATATTCTATTAAAAAAAAAAGTCTAGGTATAAATTTACATTTAAACATAAAAAACTTGCCTTTCATCAAAAATAATGAGTAAGTTATTATACCATTAAGAGTATAGAAAAATATAATTTTTATATTTCAAAAATAATAACAACAACTTCATGGTTAATCCATTAAAAAAAAAAAAAAAAACTCAAAGAAATAAATTATAGCTTGCAAAAAGTGATGTCAGTGACATTTGATTTGTTAAAAAAAATTTTTTTTTCCACTTTGAGAAAGTAAATAAAATTTAACAAAATAATTTGCTAAAAACTATAATCTTTTTTGCACTAAAAAACATAAAATAAACTTTTTAATTTAAATTTAATAGTTCAGTAAACTAAAAATTGACAGGCCTGTTTCAAAATAAACTTTGTGCAGACCTGTCAATCTTTAGTTCACTGAACTAAAAAATTTAAATTTAAATTTTATTTTCAACTTTTTATTCTTTATAATAAGAGTCCGTATTTAACAATGCGTATTTTTTATGTAGAATTATTGTTATTTTTGTCATATTATTTAGTGGTTCAAGAAAGAAAACGACAAGAAATAAGATGAAAAAGTGTGATTAAGTTTCTTAGTAGCAAGTAAAATTAATGCAATATTGGTACAATATTTATCTCAATATTTGCTAAATATTATTAAAAATATTGCACCAATATAAACTGTCAAAATTTTGATATAGACTATTCATATTAATACAACATATTTTTTAATCATAAAAAATCTATAAAAAAACCTTTGAAATTAAAAAAAAGAGGATTCCTGAGGAGGGATTAAACCTGCAACCCTGACAGCTGCGTCTCAATATCAGACTTCTGTTACATGTACAGGACTACATTATTGTGCCAATTAGGATTTTATGTTTACATAATAAAATAATGTTTACATAATAGTGTTTACATTATAAAAACCTTTTTTGCATACAAATAAGTTTTTATTATGTAAACATTATTTGTACAAGCATACAAGTAATTACCTCCTAGAAAAAAACACATTAAAGTTTACTAAAAGAAATCAGCCTGCGGAGGACTTGAACCCCCAATACTATCACCCACGCCTTAAAAGAAGAGCATTATTACATACACAGCACTACTTAAATAAATTAATGATGTAACAAATAGAAATCAAACTTGTGGACAAGTTGATTGATGAAAAGTTCTGGTCAAGTGAAAGAAAAGAGCAGTTATGTTTCTAAATAAATCTTGTGCAGACCTGTCAATCTTTAGTGTGCTGAACTATTAAATTTAAATTAAAAAGTTATTTTCCGCTTTTTAGTACAAAAAAGATTATATTTTTTCAGCAAATGTTTTTGCTAATTTTTTTATTAAATGAGTGGATGAAATATTGGTTTAAAAACATTATTATATATGAATTATTGATAACTATAAAATTAACCCTGCCTAGGGCTGCCAAATATCTTCAGTCAGGCCTGTTGATATGTCAATACTGGCACAAAATTTTGATACTATTTTACCAATATTATCTTGCAATATACAGGGGCTGTTCTAGGAAAAAAAAATTAGGGCCGCAGTACCCGTCCGCTCTGAAAAATTTAGCTAAAATATTATAAAATATTCGCGGAAAAAACAATATTTGTAAAAAAAAAAAAGGTCCTCGATTTTTAATTTGGGCGGCGCCCAAATATGGTTCAAGCTGTCAAAAACAGTCTAGAATAGCAAGATAAATAGAAAATGAACTTTAGAGATAGAAACTAAAGGGTTAAAGGTGAAACAGAATGAGTATGAGACAATATATAATGTAAATAAATTACACAAGCCAAAATTTTTGGAAAATAATCAACTGAGGAGTACCTGACATCTGTCTGGAGAGTTATCATGTGGAACATCATGACGGCTAGATAAATACTCAGCAGTTCATAGTACTTTCAAGGAGTGGATTCAAGGTTTGTAAAGACAATTTAAAGATATTTAGTTTTGAGTGCAACAAATGTGCTTATTTTAAAAAAAATGTTCAGATATTATAGGGATAAATAGTGAAACAGGAGGTTGAGACACTGAAAAAGATGCCTCTGCAATTTATTTTAATCAAGGGACACAATGAGCTAAAAGACAGAGCGAGATTGCATCAAGAACTAGAATAAAATGTGTCAAGACCAAGTTTGACCTTTTGATGCGTCAAGACCAAGTTATAAAAACATTATCCTACAAATCATTGTGTTTGTGGATTTCTTCCTGCAGTCTCCTATTTTTTTCATTAATAAATTGTTTAAAAATGAAGGCTAGTACTGTGAAATTTAATTTTAGTTTAATTTGCTTTCTTTTAGACATTCATTTTTAGAGTCTCAACTGAAAAAAAGCTGTCTAAAAGAAAACAAAATCTAATTATTTTTTTATAAACTAGTTTCAACTTAAAATAAAATAGAACTTAATAAAAAAATAATAAAATGATACAAATTTAATTACTGCGTAATTTACAGAGTGCAAATTTCCCAACAAGATTGCAAGCAAACACTAATCAAGTTGGGAGTTGACAAATTAGTAGTAATTTTTTTTTTTTGTTAAATATTTTTAGATACTTTGTTCATGTTTTGAATAAATATAGAACTTGACTTAATTATAAATATGTATAACATCCTGACTAATAAGCTGTTAACAATATGCTGTTGCAGCTACCTCATACCCACTAATCAAATCAAAACCATAACCTTCATAGATTCCGTCAACAACTAAGACCTTCATAGATTCCGTCAACAATGCAAGTTGTTGCATTGTTGACGGAAAATGCATTCCGTCAAGCTGCACATTAATAGCGTTGACAGGAACAACTACAATGTGCAACATGTCATTGCTAATACTCCATATTTTATAGCTGTTGATGAAATCAGCTTCTTGATTATGAGGCAGGTTGTACTAGATGACATGTAGCAAAACTCTGATCTGACTTGAATTCCTAACTCTGATCTCACTTCAAATTAAGAGTTATTAATAAATAAATTTACAACAAAAATATACTAATAAATTTTTATTTCAGATTTAAAAGCATTTTGTTTTGTCAAAAAAATAATAAATATGCATTAAATACCATAGCTAGTTCCAGGTCCAATTTCTTGAGAAGCATCTAACATTGTCTCTCCAAGAACAAAAGAATTTGTTGGACGAGCTGGAGTTTTTTTATCTAACTTCTCAAACAAAAATTCTTCAATTCTATAACCTAGAACCGAAACATTGGTTTCTAAATTAAAAAATCCATGTAAAGGAATCTCTGTGTTGCAACAAAATATTTTTTTTTTGTTAATTCACCTCCTCAAGGCCGAGAAGGCCACTACAGACGAGGAGGCTACTTATTTGATTTTAGGAGTTAATAATATAACTTTTTTTCTGGTAACTTTGTAACATAGTGTTTAAAAGAAGAAAAAAAAACATATTGTTAAGTAGGGAGAAGTTTGGGAGAGTTTGCAGAAAACAGAAATATAAAAAAAAAAATAACAAAATATTAAAATTTTTTTTTTTACCTGGGTTTGGTTGTATCATTGCTTCAGCTTGTTTTAAAAGTTTTTCAGTTAAATGTCTTGTTTTTTCTGCTTGCATAACTTGATTTTCAAACTGAGCATCATATTGTGTTTTCTCTGCACTTCCAACCTGCTCTTCTGTGAACTGAAAAAATTATAAACAACTGCACTTAAACATTTTAATAATGCATTTATGAAAAAACAGTAAAATTAATTAATACAAATGGCATAATTATATTTCATTAATAACTAAATAACTAAGTTATTTAGAATTTAACAAATTGAAGCATTAAATAAGCAGATTTCCAATCAAAGTAATTATTTAGTTATTAGGGTTAAAAATTAATAATGAACATTAATATTAATAAAGTAGGCGGTAGTACCTGCTCACAGTCTACTTATTAATAATAATGCTCTGTGCTATATGTTTGCAATTAAAATTAGAAATTATATTTTTTTTTAGAAACAAAAAAATTCGACTAGTTTAACATTTTAGTAATAAAATTATTTGCTTACTCATATTATATTTTAAAATATCTTATTTGCTTTTTTTTTTTCTTCAAACATTTTCGCTTCTAATAAGGCGGCAAGCAACTACTATTAGAGTTTGAAGTTAATGGAAGAGAACAGATGAAGTCTATAGAGCAAGATAAAAATTAACAGATGACTTAAAAGATTGCAAATTATATGCATCAGGAAAGCAAGATGAAGGAAGCGAATTCCAAACAACTGATGTTTGAGGAAAAATTCTAGACGAATAAGAGTTTTTGGAGCATTTAGGAACAGTCACAGAAAAAGTATGAGAATGGCGAGAAACATGAAAATGAATTTTAGTAGATGACACAAGAGACACTAGCTCTTTAGAGCAGTGCCCGCCATAGCATTTATAGAAAAGAGGAGAAGCAACAATACCACTATGTGATAATGTTTGGAGGTTAGCTGCAAGAACAGATCTAACTAAATTTACAATGTATTTTTGCACCTTTTCTAAAACAGAAAGGGCATCATTGGAAGATCTGCCCTAGATATGGCAACAGTATTCCATACAAGGACAAATCTAAGATTTATAGAGATAAAGAATAGAATCCGGAGTAAGAAAGTGACATACACGATAAAGAGAATGCAACCTTAGCAGATGCTAATCCTGCAAAGGATTTGATATACGCTTTCCAAGAAAGATAAGAAGTAAGAGTCAGTCCTAGAAAATAAAGGGTAGATGACTCGTCGAGCTCATCACCATTTATAAATATAGGAATATTTCAACTATTGCAGTAACGATTGGCTGAAAAAAATTAGGTTTTACCTGAATTCAAGTTCACCAGGCACTGTGAACCCCATGATGTAGCAGAATTGAGATCAAGCTCAAATGCCCCCTCCAAGCGATCAGATGCTTACTTATTTACTTGCTGTTTATACTTTATAATGTTTGCAATTTACTAAAACTAGATTAGTTCTATTCTATTTTTAATTTAGAATCTATAAAAACAGAACAGAACTAATTAGAAACATAGAAAAGTTGAAACATTAAAATAAGTGTGTAAAGAAAAGTAAAAAAAAAAACACTCAGAGAATCTGTGAAAGCCAAAAATCCCTAAACAAATCTACAAAACCAACAAAATCTACAAAAATACCAACAAAAAGCCCCTAAAAATCTAAAAAAACATCTAACCACCATCCCTAGAAAAAAACACTTGATTTTTACAACTCAGTGTAAAAATCTTGTGTTTTATTATATAGTAATAGAAGACTTGCTTGGTAAGTAAGAAAATCCAGGTTCAATCCAAATTACATCGTTTGTAGTACTCACTCAACATCTACAGCAAAATTTTTTAAGCATTTTATTTACAAGAATCAGTAGCAACAAATTTTTTTGCAGATTTGAAATCCCCGTAAAACTTAAAATTTTAATTGAAATATTAAAAAAATGCAAAACTTGAGCTCCTAACTCCAAACAGTTCAAAAGTCATGTTTTTAAGTGGAAGGTTTTTTAACATTTTAAACTTGAACGTTTATAATGCCCCTCTTTTGCAAACATTGCTCATTATAGATTTTGCAGTGATACCTTTTTATGATTAATATATTTAATTTTTTTTTTGTTTGATCAGGATCAGGATTATCATGGTCACCCTGCTTCTGTTAACACGTAATCCAGTACAACCTGCCACAAGTCTTGCTGTCATGTAGGACTCATTTTTTTAGGCAAAAAGACTACTTGCATTGGAACTCTTGATTGAGTAAAGCCTAGAGATGATATTTCAATAGATATACCTATCTTGGGCAGTTGTTAACTGCATCTGGCTATTGTCTTGTAAACTGGTTCCAAGATAAAGACATTAAAAATAAGCATAAAAAATCTATTACATTGTTTCTCTCCAAGGATAATGAATGCTGGATCATCTTGATTTCACTTATAGATTATTTTAGTAATGGCTATGCATCTCTTTTTTTCATCTCCTAATGAGGGTACAACTTTAAAACCAAATTTATTAGTTTTTTATTTTTTTTTACTGAAACTTGAGTTAGAAATAAAAATTCAGAAATCTACATTAGATTGTTTCTGTCTTTGGTAAGTGATGATATTAATACAAACCAAAATCTAGATACAGTGCTTTCAAAATAAATAGATACATTAAGAGTTGGTTGCTTAAAGTTTATTTAAAGTAAAAAAAATATTAAAGGAAATATTGAACAATTATTTATATGCAAGAATAACAAATATTTGTTAAATAAACCTTGCATCTTACTAAAACATACAATTTATATAAAAACGTTAAAAAACTGCAATATATAAATATAAAACTTTTTCACTTAAATTAATTATTTTCAATTTTTCCATCCCATTCTTCTTACACCACCTTATGTAACTTACACTTATTATTTTAAGCCAATCTTCACCCGTTAGCATGCGTATTCTATTAACTGCATAAACACGCATTTTTTTCCTGAGTAAATATTTCTAAGTGCAATAAAATAGAGTCACAGTTTGTATTTGAAGAAAGACAGTTTTCATAGAAAATCTGTTGGTAAGCTCACAAAAAATCAACTATGACTCATAATATTCTGGACCCTGTATGCATTAAAAGCTGCATGACTGTAGTTTTGAATGTTTTCAGAGCAATTCTGATGCTTTTTTTTAAAAATTTATACCTTTTTGTTATTTCCCTGTTACAGATCTTGGAGCCATCCTCCATGCCTATTGTTTGCCACTTTGTTGCTGCTCTTACTGTTGTTTTTTTTCCATTTCAGTATATCTTATCTTTTAGACCAAAGTATTTAAAATCAAAGGAAAAAATATAATTTACTTGAACAAAAAAATACAACATGAAAATCAAGTCACCAATGAAAATCAAGTAACCATAAAGTCACAATTGCCATGGTTGAATTATGAAAAAAAATAATTAAATAATAGATTGAAAAAAATATTTGTTGTTGAGTATTATTTCTAAAAAGGAACTACTACAAAATTTATAAAAATGATCATGCACAAAAAAATTTAGACTGAATTTCAAAGCATCATAACTTATAATCTGTTAGGAGTTGGGATTCAAATTTTTTCTTATTTCTTTGATTGGTACTACTTGTTAAATTTTTAAGTAAAGGTGGTTAAACAGGTTAAAATTTAATTAAAAAGTATGTGAAAAAATTAAACTCTTTAATTACTTTAACAGAATAAACTCTAATAACAAACAACAACAATACTTTAGTATTGTGGGGAAAAAAATACTTGAAAATAAAAATTCACTGTGATAATTATGTAAAGCTAGTGAAGATTTGAGTTTGGGTCCAAGCAGGTATTATCTAGATATAATAGATATTTATCTAGGGTTGCAGAGCGGAGTTTCTAATATGCAGATTTTTTTAAATCATATTTTTAATCTGCAGATAAATTTTTAATGCAGAACTTTATTCTAAAACAAATGGTGACACACAAATGTCATTCAAACTATAGTTGTTAAGATAACAAAGAAAATCACTAAAATTACAACAAAAACAAATTTATAATAAGATGGTTACATATTCAAATCTGTAGAGTGTGCCAAATTAATTCAAAATTAAATTTCATTTTATAGAAGTTGCTACAGATAGTTTCATACTAAACTTTTTTTTTTTAACATCTTCACTTCCAACAAGGCTGCAAGCAACCACCATTAGAAGAAAAAAGATGATGTTTATAGAGCATGATAACGATTTACATACAACTGGGTCATTTCGTGCCAAGTGGTGCAAATTTTGATGAGGTCCCTCATGGACCAATTCAAATTTTATTGAAATTTGAACGCTATTTAAGTAGTGGGCTATTTTGCATAAAATTTCACTCTACAAGAAAAAAGTTTATTTTCATCATTTTTAACAGCCAATAACTTTTGAACAATTTAGTTTTATACTTCAGTTATTATAAGATAGCAAGTGTGCTGTAAATACTTTAGAAAAAGAAAAAAAATTTAATTCTGGCATCTTAACTTTTTCCATAATGGCGGGCTAAAGTTGAGATTTTTGTTTTTAAATTATTTTTTTTTGTGATTTTAATGATCTTAATCTTGAAAACTAATTAAAAAATTAATACAAATCAAATTGCCTGCTGATCTACATGTGGTGGATAAACATTTTTTTTAAAAATCAGTTGATTAAGGAGCTGCATTTAAAAGTTATAGGTCTCCAAAATGAGTTGGATCAAGATTTTTGTAAAATTGATCTGTGATGCAAAGCATCTGTTACCTAAGATGGCACTTTTTTGTTTTCATAAAATTTTTTATACGCATCAATTAAAGAGTGTTAATTTATAAAAACAAAAAAAATTAATGGCCGCTTATTTATAACGCCCAAAAGGTAGTCTCTAAAAGTCAGGTAAATTTTCCATAAAAAATTATTACTTTTTAAAAGTTTAGTTAGTGTTTCATTTAATTCTATAATACTAGTATGTCAATCTAAAAAGTACTAATAAAACCAAATAAATTGTTGTATTTTAGAACTAATTAATAATAAGTAATATGCCTGAGCTTTCTACTTGCTGTATTGGTAAAGCATTAAATAAACAGTGCTATCTATCTAAAAAAAGTAAACGCTACCAAGAACTGTCTACACTAAACCCAGAGCTTATTTCTTTGAGAAGCAAAATAAATCCCATAGATTTTATTTGTAGCTATC